TCCAAAACAGTTGAACTTAGGGACTAAAATTTAATACCAAAATGTATGGAAATAAAAACCCTGCAAAATGATGTTGACCCCCCTTCCCATTTGAAATTTTCTAGGAGGTGGCTCTGGGGGCTGGGGGGTTGAAAGAGGGAAGGTGAATTTTGCATAAAAACTCATCCCCCTTCAAATTATAGTTGACGTGGTTCAGGGATTTTTTCGAAAATTTTTCTACTCCGAGATAATAGAGGTGGGAAGTTTTCAAATTGAAACCCTGTATACATAATAATTGACGAGTATGCAGTGATTTCGTTACTGAGTAATTCTTTTACTTTTCTAGCTGAACTGATTCTTTTTCTACAAAATTTCACAGCCCGAAATTTTAAAATTCAACACACCAATAATTAATGGTGAAAGGTGATGATTAGTCGCGAAAAATAATGGTTTCAATTAGTGTTGCTTATTATTTAACAAATGAATAGTGCAATTATAAGTCACGCGTGGTGTTTTCTTGGCTCATAATACCTGCCTAGAGTATTATTAATTATAGTTTAAAGACCCTCATTAATGCAATAAATCTTATTTTTGCAAACGAGCAGTAAATAATTATATCTCCAGATCGCCATTCAAAATAAATGTATCTGTGGATTCACTCTCAAATTAAATCCGATTCACTATAAGGGACCTTTTATCCCAGCGCATAAAATGTCCGTGGGTTCCCATTAAAGTATTTAATTATTCAGGAACATTATCTGATGTATACAGCTGTGGATGTTATGCATGTTTATGAAGTGTTTACCTTTAAATTGGAAATTTTATCCGATCCGATATGCCAGTGCAGAACAAAAGTTTTGTTACAAATGCGTTTGACAGTTTTCCAGTGGGCTCAATAGAGATTTAAAAATAAAACGCGATGCAAGCATAAAAAAAAAAACGTAGTTTCTGTTGAAAAATTATGGAATATTCAAATAGGGCCTGATATGACTAACCAATTGAATGTAGGCATTGGTTGATTTAGGCTTTTGTTCATATTGATTGTTCTTTGCATATTTACTGGTTAAAATGTGCCCCAAAATATACTCTATTGATTTACGCTTACACATAACAATCTATGTATAGGCTGGTAAGCTCCATGCAGGTTTATATTTCAATGACAACGACCTATAGCAGTAGATTATTTTTTTGGAGTGAAGAAAAATACAATTGGATAGACAATGGATTGGCAGATTTGCAGATCTGCATTGTCCAATGTCTATCCTAATGCAGGCAAGATACTAGAAATCACTTCTTGAGAAGTTCCTGTCTTGTTATGACTAGGTGTGAGACATTTCGTGTGGGGTAGTTGTGAATATCCTGATTTTGTTGAAACTTATCTTTATTTTCAACAGGTTACATTCAAGTATACGCAAAAATTGATGTGGCCGTTACGACTTCATTCGAATAATTCTGTATATGACCCCAGTGGCTTGAGTCCAAATAATAATATGATAACCTATCTTTTTCTGAGATACGAGGCCTCTGTTGATACTAGAGGCTGTGGGATTGAAGGTCCGCTTCAGTCCCTCAGTATACTATTACTGCCGCTGCGAGGGGAGGTAAAAGTACATACTTTTACCACCGTTTCACTGCCGGTGCAAGAGTAACACGTAGATTTCTTGGTAGGATTATGCGATAGTCACAATTTACATCATGTTCCCTAAGTCGGGGAAATTGTGCACAATTTTGCAACATCTAAGTGCAAAGTCTCAACCCCGAGGGTTTTGTTGTGATTTCTAAATTTGTCAAGTAAAAGGAATAAATAATGTCATTTTATGTATACATCCAGGCTAATGGATTATTAGATTTCATCAGCCTAAAAACCTATCCCCAGATGTCACAATCACACGCAAATTATATTTTACAACACTAATAAATTTGGAAATAGCTATGCGTGCGCTATAATACAATGATGCCGTTGAAGGAGTGTTCTGATTTATTATGGAGACTTCCTATTTCGGAAAAGAATTTATAATTGAGTTAGTTTATTACATATACATATTATTTTCTTGCGTTTGCCGAAACAACGTTTTGAATAAACAATATGGGAGTCGTGGTGAGGAATTAATTGGATTTTGTATTGAATTCATTAGAATTTATGTACTGCTTCTTCAAAATTATTTAGGAATAAATGAAGATTTTGGATAAAAAGCTAGCAATCATGAGTACAATAAAATGTCAGGCCTTATAGCCGGAGAGCCAGCGCCGAAAAAATTCACTGAATTTACTAAAGCCAGTTTTTGGTCAGTTGATTACAGTATTTACGTACATAAACATACCTCGGTCAGTCAAGCGAAACTTGGGACATGGACCAAGGGTGTCTGGTTAAAGTTGTCGAGATAGCTAGGTAATGCAACGAATTTACTGAAGCTGAAAATCGCTATACATATTATATATAACACATAAATAACAGTGATGTTTGTCAGTCAGTTGAATAGCGGAACTGGGCCGGTCATTCAGCCCCATTGAGGTAGTTCAGCCCCAATTTATGTAAAAAAAATAATAGGTCTATTTTTTTTTAGAGTGACAGCGTGACAGTCACAATTCAAAATTGTAGGTTGAAGTTTAAATTATTAGATTTGTTCAGTAATATTAATATTTTTTGCAGATTTTTACATTTATTGAGGCTGACTGACCAGCACGGTCCCGCTATTCAACTGACTGACTAACACTACTGTTATTTATATGTTATATATAATATGTATAACGATTTTCAGCTTTAGTAAATTTGTTGCATTACCCAAGTTATCTCGACACCTTTAACAAGACACCCTGGGTCCTTGTCCCAAGTTTCGCTTGACTGACCGCGGTATGTTTATGTACGTAAATACTCTAATTAACTGTCCAAAAACTAGCTTTAGTAAATTCAGAGAATTTTTTCGGCGCTGGCTCTTAGACTATTAAAACTTCAAAGTATGATCGATATCGGCTTACCTGAGTTTAAAATTTTTTTGAAAAAGTTTTTTTTTCAAATTTTACATTTCAATGATTTATTTCTATGTTGTGTGATTAGCTTTTTTTCTATACAGTATACAGGTTGCCACAAAATCAAGTGCATGCACTCTAAAGGGCCCCATACACTACGATGAAACACGACGGTTTTCACCGCCACGATGAAACACGTCGTTCTAAAACCGAAGTGTGTAATAGAAAAACACGACGGTTTTCTACAGGGCTCCATACACTACGATGAAACACGACGGTTTTCACCGCCACGATGAAACACGTCGTTCCAAAACCGAAGTGTGTGGTAGAAAACCCTTCGTGTGTACGAAATGTTGAACCGTCGTGCCAAAAATCAAGCTGGGACTGAATTTTAAACCGACGATGAAACACGACGGTTTTCTACCACACACTTCGGTTTTGGAACGACGTGTTTCATCGTGGCGATGAAAACCGTCGTGTTTTATCGTAGTCTGTGGGGCCCTGTAGAAAACCGTCGTGTTTTTCTATTACACACTTCGGTTTTAGAACGACGTGTTTCATCGTGGCGGTGAAAACCGTCGTGTTTCATCGTAGTGTATGGGGCCCTTAAGAGGTACGAAATTGGTTAAATTGATGCAGGCTTCTGCCTTCCGGAACTGCTCCACAAAATGCTGTTATAAAATCTGGAAAGTTCCTAATACTGGAAAAAAAGACCAATTTTGCAAAATCATTTAAATCTGTAACTGTTTTCTATATTCACATGCAAGCACTCGAATTTGTATCACCCTATATAGGGAAACGCGAATCACACAAAGTAGAAATAATTGATAATTTAATAAGAATCTCTGTAAAATTTAGTTACTTTTCAAAAACTTTATAAATAAGTACTTAATTTTCGAACATAAAATGACATTGTTATAGCATAATTAAATAAGATTTAAATAAATCCTTTGAGACTATCTGCCAAGCACGGACTTCTTTCATCTTAAAATTTCTGGCTTTTTTCCACAAATATAAATCATAAAACTGCACTAATGTTTATCTATTTTAAATATGTCGCATTTAATGTTTCCATGTTACATATTTTTGATTTAATGATAGGGAATATAATATGCTTATGATTGAAGTTGTGATTTTGGCAACATAATTATATCCTAAGATTAGAAATTACAGTTTTCCAATGCATTTTTCTATTGTTCCTAAAATTATACTTTTTCCAGACCAACTCAAACATGCAATTCCAAGATCAAAGCGCATAAAATCTACGACGTAAATTCATTACAAAACCTCAACAATTCTAAATTATCAAGTCACGATAAAAATGCGGCACAATAAGAAGAATAATTTCTATGACTCTTTACTTTCCAGTTTTCAACTTTAAGGTAGGTAATAACTGTTTGATCAAAATGTTTCAAAATGCTGTAAAATCGTTAGGTGTGACTTATGGAATGCAATTATTCTCCAAGTTTTAAATATTTTTGTTTAAGCTCAGTTGGCTGAACCACTCGAAACTAAATCAAATAGTATGAATAATATTGAGTATAATGTCTAATACCTACTAAATTGGATAGAAATCAAACAATACCAAATATGGAAAGAATATGAGCCTATGTCATGAAAAACAAGACACACAAAGTGAAAATCTTCCATTTATAATTCAAGGTAACAATTATCTTAAATTTATTGTGTAATATCAATGAGTATCGATTTAGTATCACACACATATACTATTCAACAATTAATTATTTTGCAATGGTGAATCTATTATTTTTCATTTATTTTTTTCCTTGTCGCTTTTAAACACATGTTGCAATAAGTAATAATAAAGATTTTCTGAGAGGAGTCCCGCGATTTTGCTGTTAGATAATGAAAACACCGGCACACGAGCCAGCACACCTGTAGCCTTAATTCGAATTACTACAGCATGTAATTAGTTGTTGTGAAATACTTATGGGATTTTCAGAAAGTAAGTAATTTTTTATGGACTATAAAAATAGATGCACCAAACAATATATCATTTTATATTTTATAGGGTAATACATTTCATAACTCACCTTTAAAAAATAATTCAGTTGGATTCGCAAAGAATGGTTGGTTCCCACGCCTCTGAAAATAATACAAAAATCATTAATTATATAGTCGTATGAAAAAATGATGAATAGCGTGTTGATTTATAACTAAACAGTTAGGTACAAAGTAGATAATCGAAGATGATTTTTACTTGCTAATTATTGTGTGAATTAATATTTTCGGAAAGTAAAAGTCAAAGTAAGGCTTATCACACAGCATAAGGACTAATAATTGACGAACATTTTTCATGCCTTAACTAGTATTTGATCTATGGACGGGTGGATGGATAAAATAGGGAACTTAACAACAAAATCACAAAATAAATCAAATTACGAACAGATACAAGAAATAAAAAACAAAGCAATAAACAAAAAAACGGTATAAGACAAAAGTAAGTACTTAATCCAAGACCTTTTGTTGAAGCCCAGATAACCCCGTGAACCAACTTCACACCGGAAACACTGTCAGACAACTGACCGAAGGCCAGACCATCGTGTCACTGAAAAGTTTACACTGGGTATCGGGACAGGACAGTCAAGTCCAAAGCCCGATTGGTACGTGGACACCATTGATTGACCCGGCGTTTGGGTTGTCATAGCGATTGACTTCCGATACAAACAAATTTCCCCTCAAATGGAAAAAGATGATGGGGCCGGGCCACCCTCCTCCTACCCAGCTAGGGCACCCACTGTCGATGGCTTGAACAGAGGCGTCTCCATTTAGGGAAAGTGGGGATGATAATATAATCGATAGAAGGTATGTACATACTTCTATATGGGTAAAATATTTTTGAAAAAATATATTCGGAAATAAGAAGCACACAAAATGGGCAAAATTGCAAAATATCAATTTTTGGAAAAGATTCACCAAAAAATCAAGGTTTGAAGGGTACCCGAGTAACATGCTTCACTGATACCTATTCTTTACAATACAGAATGTTCCACTTCGATACATAATTTTAACAAATCGATCTCACGTTGTCTCGTTGCTTTATCCAAACAATAATATGAAACAGTAGTATCTACAGGTTGGCGAGTTGATGGCCCTAACAAATATAGCATTAATGCACACAATTTCAAATACGTATTAGGTTTAGGCGCGCAAGATCAAATTTCAAACCCAGATGCTCAGATGCATATACCATATGTATTCAGTTGAAAATTCGATTTGGTTTGCTGAAATTTCGTGAGCTGAACTAAAACTTGTCACTAATGCAGTAATTTTTCAGGAGAGAAAAAAAATGTTTAATCAATATATTTTTCTTTATGTTTTCTCGATTTTTCTGTTATGTTATCTGACTCGTTATCTGATTTTGTATGAAGATGTCATCTTCTCTGGTGGATCATATTATCAAATATTTTTCCAGTGTTGTGCTGCAGGGGAAAATGATCTAAAAACCGTAGTTGCGCTACTGTTTTAGAGGACCTCAATGGTATATTACATAACAATGGGCGAACAGGGAAAAGCCGATTTAATGACAGCAGTGGCCAACTGTTGAATTAGGAAAACACTAATCGAAGCATTTGGATAACGATTAAATAAATGGGTCATTTTAATTTGAAAAATGAGCAATTCTTCCTTTTTTTAACCCCTTGACTTCTATAAATTTTACATGGAAGCACCTTCAAGACTGACGAATCACCAAAAACTCCAGTTCTTTTGATCTAACTGTTTCAAAATGCTACCCAGACGAACAAACCAAAAATTTCTGAATATGTAATAAATTGACAAGATGGATTTTTTTTTTTGAATTGGTAAATTTATAAATCGATTAAGCAATAATTCTCATTGTACCTACATATTTGCATAAAATCGTTTTTAAACAAAGGACAATAATAGTTATTTATGCAACAAGTGTGTAAAGTGAACCTTTTTTCACGAATGTGAATTTTGACGCACGAGCCGAAGGCGAGTGCGACAATCACATGAGTGAAAAAAGGTGCTTTACGCACGTATTGCATACAAAATTTTTTCTACTACCAATCAAATATGTGTAAAAAAAATAGATTTAGACAGATACTTTACGCACTAGTGCGTGAAGTATTTTCACTTTACGCACTAGTGTGTGAAGTAATTTACCAGAAAAATACTAAATTGACAGTCTTGACATTTGTCATTGACATTACTTTACGCACTAGTGTGTGAAGTGAATTACTTTACGCACTAGTGCGTGAAGTGAAATTTTACGTCTTCTGAATAGTGCGTAAAACGAGTACTTTACGCACGGTAGTATAAAAAAATAATTTTTCACTGTTTATTTTTTAGTGAATGTTTAGTGACACGTATGTAAAATAGCAGTTTTGTGTATATTTGTGACCAACCCATCCAACCTAAAAATCCATATATTGCTGCCAAGAAAAATGAACAGTTTGAAAGAACTTTCGAAACGTTTCATCCATCATGTCTTTCTCAAATATGTATGTAATTGGAAATTAAGAAAAGGGAATATTTTGTTGAAAATATCAGTTTTTATCAGCTACTTAAATTGGACAATTTGACCTTCTATTGATTTCAAAACGGCGTAATCTTATAGGTAAAAAAAAAACTTATCTATGCACGAAGCTTCCACACAGATAAACCTAAAAAGTAGTAGTCTTTGATTGAGTAGTATCACAGCCTCCTATAGTTAACAAGCCATGAAGTTGGAAATGACGGCAACGTCGCGTATGGTGCTATTTTGTTATTGGGTTATGTGTTTCTGTGTATTGCTTTCATTGTGTATTGTTGCAATTTAGTATTTTTATGGGCATTATTGACGAAAAAGTGGATAGAAACACACCAATATATTGCCCATATTTAGTTGATACCTGTTACTTTGTGCTTTGATTGCAAATTTTTAGCAAATGGGTACAGGAGCAAAAATGAAGGTAAGGTTAGGTAAAACAATAAAAACAATATTAATATTTGTCTGCAAGAGCATAGGTCTCGATGTAGTACCTAAGATATTTAAACTTGTTCCAGATGCCATGAAACTACTGTGTTCCTGGGTGCAAATCGAACTATTAGGAGTTCCTTAAGAACTGAAGAAATGCAAACATTTTTATTTCCAAAAAAATTCTGAAGTGCAAAAAATGTAGATGAAAGCAATACACCAAGATAATTATACCCGAGATTATACAATAACAAAAAATTCTGTGGTGTGTTGTAAACATTTTGAAGAAACCGAAATAATTAGATTTGAAACAAACAAGGATAAAGGCGTAGTTCGAGAGTTCAAACTGAAACGTCCAACTCTTAAAAGTAGGTACCTCTTATTTTCGAAAATCAGCTCAAGTATTTGGATGGACTTGCCTTCCGAAAAAATCCCGAAGAAAGAAAAAGTTAGATTTTCAAAAGATATACTGAAACATAGGCCCTTTACCTTTAACACTTTAGACTAGAAATATATTCATTTAAATCAATTATTTACTGTTCTTATTTACACAAATAGTTAAATTATTCATTGAATTACTGTTTTTGGCCTTTTAGTACAATAAATTATGCATTTTTTGTGATTCATATTAATAAAATAAAAAATATATATTTATACAAACAAACACCACCAGCACCACTTGGCGGTAAGATTGCGGTGTTGCCTTTTTAACTTCATGGCTTGTTAAATGTAGGAGGCTGTGGTAGTATTGATTATTGATCCTAGATAATCTACGATAAACAATGAATATTTATTTAATGATGACATAAAGACACGTTGACGATGAGATCGATCGGTTAGAAAAAACATATAGTAACTAACCCTTTATTTACTTTAATAATAGAAATTTGTAATTATCCGTTTTGTTCTTACATTCTAATAACTGTGAGATCATGCAGATGGTTTGGCAGATGCGCCATTAAATATTTAAAGTTTTCTTTTTGTGGACTGGATCACACGAAGGTCCCAGAATAATACTATAGAACAAAACAAAAAGATAATAATAGGAAGAAACAGAGACGGACACGTCAGCGCTTTTGAAAACTTATAATAAGTGATTTTCTGGAAAAGTTTTTATTCTTTATACTCAAGTAAGACGAATAAACTAGGTATGTAATTAGATATCATTATTGAATAAAACTTTTTGAATTAATGAATTAATAATAAGGAAAGAGGAAATTGAACATGGAAAATATTCTGAGGCCTAAGATAAAGAAAAGCTATGGAAAATCTAAAGCGAGCTAGCAAAAAGCATATTATAAGTCACGTTGTACTTGGCGAACTTCCAAAACATTCTATATTAATGTGTCCTGACAGTCGTCAAGTAGACTCGAAAATTAATTGTGCGTAATATGGCAAATAAACGCAGATAGGATTTTCTTGAGGCAATTTGTTATTCTAGTTTAGTGTTACAGTCATTCATAAATTATGTTGATTCCAACACTAAAAATAAATATTTTAAACAATTCGCAAAGTGAATCCATTTTTATTTACCACCATATATATAGGTGTTTCTGACTGTTTTAAACTTTGGAAGTGAAATGGTTTCGACTCATACTTTCCACCAATATATTTCAATTTCATGTATTTTACCTCGGGCGTCTTTAGGATGGCAGTAGAACTTTTTCTGCTATTTTTGCTGCATTTCGAATTTGCGGTGACCGCACGAGATCACTTGCCAAGCTCTATCTTAGGCATGAAAATCGATATCGATTTGAAATTTTGGGGATATACAGTCGTAAGCATAAAAAGTGGGACACCCGTTTTTTCCTATTGTAAAACGAGCTCATCAGCTATACCTACGGCAATGACAGGGATTCTCATATTTGGCAAAACATCCATTGTAGAGAAAAGACTGATTTTCCCTTGAATAGCGAAAAATTACATGACCTGTCAGTCGGGTGTCTCACGACTGTATATCATTGATATCGATGCAGAATTTCAACATAAAAACAATCGACCGTCGCTTCGGTTTGACCGGGAGTGCCATCAACTTCTTTATTTCATTAAACAATGTGAAGAAAAACAACTAGTCGTGGTATCAAAATTTTAATATAAAGATTACATGTTTCGCCCAATAATGGGCATCATCAGACTTATAAAAAGAAACCCTTTTACACTTAGA